AAAAAAAAAAAAAATGTCTAGAACAGACAAATAGAAAGTTAGAAAATAGATCAGTGGTTGCTTAGGCTGGGAATGGAGAGTGGGAGGAGAGCGTGGGAGTGGTTGCAGTGGGTGCGGGTTTCCTTCAGGGGAGACAAAATGTTCTCATCTATTTCTGTGATCACAACCTATTTTGGTGAAGGTTGCACAATTCCATAAATATATTAAAATTGCTGAATTTACACTTGAGTGGATGGATGGTTTGAATGGCCTATGTATTACAGTATATCTTAATAAGGTTTGTTTGTTTGTTTTGTACTTTTTGAGACAAGGTCTCACTGTGCAGTTCAGGCTGGCCTTGAGCTCACTTTCTAGCCCAAGCTGGCCTCAAACTTGCAATGATGCTCCTGTCTCAGCCTCCCCAGTACTGGGATTACAGGCATGCGCCACCACGCCCAGCTTAGTAAGGTGTTTCTTAAAAAGACTTAAACTTGTCTTTCTTTTTGGACTTTGTTCATCAGAATCCTGGAGGGCTTGTTGAATTTTGGTGCTGGGCCTTTCCCCTGAGTTTCTGACTCAGGATGACTGGACTGGTGCCTAAAAATTTCACTATCTTTGTTGTGGTGGTGGTGATGGGGATGGCTGTGCTGGGGACCAAACAGGACCTCCAGCATGAACTGTATCGCTGAGCCCACTCTCAGCCCCAATTTGCTTTCTAACTGGTTGCCAGGTGAAGATGAAGCTGAGGACCCCACTGTGAGAAGCACTGGTCTCGCACCAGCTATGTGCTCTAACTTGTCTATGCTTCAGTTTAGTCTGACTAATGGAGTTAAAAATAGCTCCTGCTCCTCAGGTTTTCTTGGTCATTAAATGAGATAATCATAAAATGTACTTGTTTCAGAAGATATTCATCCTCAGGGCTCTGTAAGTAGCAGTTGTTATTGCTATTACATCTAAGTCCTTCCCTGCAGGGGCTCTCTGGCAACCCTGGGGCAGCCCTCTTAAGGACTAAGATGGCAGCAGGACACAAGACACTTTTGTCTTCCATATTCCTGGGGAAGGGGGAACTCAGAGAAGGAACAAATATGCAAATAAAATAATTTCAAATCATGACATTCTGGAAAGAAGACAGAACAAGGTGGTACAATGGCATATGGCTGGGGAGCCATCTTAGGTATGGCCTCACAGAAGACTTCCAAGGAAGTGAGAGCTTTGAGCTAAATTCCAGCTGGGGAGAAGACAATCTTTTGAAGTTCTGGGAGCAAACTCAAGGCAAAGGAAACACCCATAGGGAGGATTTGAGAGGGGAAGGAGCAGGTTGATGGGACAGGGACAGAAATAGCTTAAACCTCAAGGCAGACCAAGAACCAGGGAAAAACACAAGGAAAACATCTCAAGGACGTTCTGGGGGAAGGGTTGGACCCCTCCCTTGAACATTCACACCTGAGACATTTCCCTGCCATTCCCTGTGTACTTGGTGTCCCTTAGTTGAGAGGCCAGTGGATGACCCAGAAGCAGCCTCACCCCTACAGAGTCCAAGTGCATCATGGAAAGGGGACAGAGAAACGACAGAGATAACACCAGCAAAAGCCAGAGCAGATCTGTCTCAGGATGGCGGTTGAGCCTGAGGACTCTGCATGAACATTTCTTGACCTTTTCCACTATGCTGGGTGTTCTTGTCCCTGCCTCTGAAGAACTCACTTCTAAGAGGGAGGTGATATCTAAGCATGGCTCTCAAGTTCTGAAGTGCATGAAAATTATCAGAGGCATCTGGGAATGGAAGAGCACTCCAGCTATAAATCAAAATTGGGAAGTCAAGCCAGGTGCAGGTGCAGCCATGCAAGCCTATAATCCCAGCAGCCCTGGGGAGGTGAGGCAGGAGGATCACTTGAACTCAGGAACTCATGACCAGTGTGGGCAAAATAGCAAGATCCTGTCTCAAAACAAAGAAAAACTGAGAAGTCATAAAAGATTGATACATTCAGCTACCCTACAAAATATCCAAATATACTATATCTCCTATGTGTTAGGCTGGTAACACCATGACTAAAGTCAAAAGATGTGTAGACTAAAGTCAAAAGGCACATGATGCATGCACTGTAGTCCCAGCTGTGGGGAGGCTGAGGTAGAAGGATTCCTTAATCCCAGGAGTTCAGGGCCAAACAGGATAACATAGAAAGACTGTTTCTTAAAACAAAACAGGCCCAAGCATTGTGTGAACAAAAAATACAGTGAATGTTTAAATTTTTACAAAATTCAGTAGAGTAAAAGACACACTGCTATTAATCCCCCTCAAAATACTGTTCTGAGAGATAGGGATGTGGTTTAGTGTAGAGCACATGCCTAACATGTGCTCTGAGTTTAATCCTCAGCACTGCAAAAAATAAAACAGAACCAGTAGAATAGGAATGATCAGACAGGATATCAGAAAATGGAAAAATATCCCCTTTCTGGATAGGCAGAGCCAATATTGTTAAAATAGCCCTATTACCAAAACTGATACATAGACTTAATGCAATGCCAATCAGAATACCAACAGCATTTTTCAAAGAACTAAAAAAAAAAAAAAAATCCTAAGATTTATTTAGAACCAGAAGACACCCAAAGTAGCAAAAGCAATCTTGGACAACAAGAACAAAGAAGAAGGTGGCACTACTCCAGATTGCAAGTTATATTACAAAGCTACAGTGGTAAAAACAGCAGGGGCTGGCACAAAAATAGACATGTAAATCAATGGAACAGAATAGATGATGAAGAATCAGCTGTAGGCATATGAAGTCATCTGATTTAAAGGAGCCAAAAACATACCTTGGAGGAAAGATAATCTCTCTAATAAATGGTGCTAGGAAAAACTGGTTAGACACATGCGGAAGATTTAATCTAGACCCATATCTCTCGCTGTGTACAAAAAAAAAATAAAATCAAAATGGATCAAAGACATAGACATTAAAACAGAAACACTTGGGGCCAGGGCTATAGCTCAGTGACACAAGCACCTGCCTGGCAAGAGCAAGGTTCTGATTCCTGGTACCAAAAAAGAAAAAAAAGAAAAACAGAAACACTTAATTGGCTGACTGATAAAATAGGTAAAACCCTTGGTGTAGGACAGGAAAGAACTTTCAGAACAGAACCCCAACTGCACAAAAAAATAGCATCAAGTATCAACAAATGGGATCATATCAAATTAAAAATCTTCTGCACAGCAAAGGAATCAATAGAGTGAAGAGACAGTCTATAAATGGGAAAATTTTTGCTAGTCACTCCTCTTATATAGGGCTAATATCTACAATTTACAAAGAACTAAAAAAAAAAAAATCAGCCCCCTCAAATAAGTCAAATCAAAAAAATAAGCAAGTGAAGTGAACAGACATTTCTTAGAAGAAATACTCATATACACACAAAAGAAAAGAAATACCAATAGCCAATGAATACTTGAAAAAATGCTGGCCATCAGAGAAATGCAAATGGTAATCACAGAGCATCCATCTTACAGTCTCACTATGTAGTCCAGGCTGGCCTTGAACTCACTGTGTAGCCAAGGGTGGTCTCAAACTGGTGGTGAGCCTCCTCCTGCCTCAGCCTCCTGAGTGGTAGGATTACAGGAGTGCACCACCACGCCTTGCTCCATCTTACCCTTACATGAGAAACCCAAGTACAATGTTTAAAAAGCAAAATATAGACAATAAGAAACAGGGAGATGGACCCTTTGCAAATGGGAAGAGAACTTAGAGATAGAGGGAGAGGAAGGGAAAGTTAAAAAAAGCAATGAAGATACATATGTACCTATTTTCTAGAAGTAGTACTGGAAATTCTCTTTCCTGTCTGTAGTTGTGCTGTTGTCATGGCCTTCATGTCCTGAATCAACTTAAAAAGTGTACCTTTCCTTGTCATTTTGACTTTAAGAATGTGAAGTTGCACAGTGCCAGATCTGATGAATAAGGTATGTGAGGACATGCCATAGTTTTTATTTGACAAAAATTGCTATAAACATTTTGAATCTATTGGGACATTGAGATAGGCATAAAAAAGACACAAAAGAGGACTTCCAGAACTGTTTCAGAAGTTAGCAAGAATGATAGGCTAAGTCTGTTTAAAGTGGGTGAGGGGTTAATGTTCAGGGAGATTACTGACAATGTGTCTCAGTGTAATAAATTTTTACTTAAACATTCACTAGGGCTGGGATGTAGCTCAGCGGTGTAGTGCCTGCTTGGCAAGCTCGAGGCCCTAAATTTGATTCCCAGTACCAAAAAAAAAAAAAAAAATCACTGTATTTGTTAATCCCACTTCATAGCAGTACATGCCAGTGCAGCTGGTCTTAGACCTGTCTTTTAAAATTCCAAAGCTGTCAGTGGCTTGAGTAAACCTTTCCAAGATTCCCCAACTCCCCTGGGATATAGTCTTAACTTTTTACTGCAGCCATCAAATGCTCCAGCCACTTTGAAGGAATCCTCAGTCCTTGTCGGTTTTGCTGTTATTGTTGTTGTCTTTACTGCCGGTTGAACCCAGGGCCTCCTGCACGCTAGGCAAGCTATCTGTTACATTCCCAGACCTGGCCCCAGTGTTCTTCATGAAAAAAATTCAGTCGAGACAGAAAAGCGTTGTGAAAGCAAAGGGAGGATGTATTACAAAATGAAACCATGCAAGGCGAAAGCAGCCCCTAAGGGAACAGGTGGCAGTTGCAACAAATACAAGTTTAAGCTTTACATAATTGTTCTTAGAATGTTCTGTCTTTTCGGGCCCATCCAGTCCTCTTTGGCGCTCTTTCAAATGTCAGCGAAGGGGCTGGGGATTTAGCTCAGTGGCAAAAGCACCTGCCTGGCAAGCGCAAGGTCGTGAGTTCAGTTCCTGGTACCGGAGAAAAACCAAAAAAAAAAAAAAAAAAAAAGTCAGTGAAATAAGGAAAAGCCCCTGATGGAGTGGTTTGTGCCAGGCCAGGCGAGCCCTTCCCAGGTGCGTGGCCAGGCTGCCAGGTGGGTACTGAGGAGAGTGGTGTTGCTGGGTGTGTTCGTTAGGTGAGGTCTGTCTCCTGCAGCGCCATCCTGCATCGTAAATCTACCTTGGCTTGTTTTGTTAGGAGTTTTACGTAAGTTCCCTCCATGACTCAAGGCCTGCTAGTGTTGGCAACCACCGTTCTACATTGCGTCCCTGCAGATAATGTAACATTTTACTTGGAAATCCCTTTTGTCTTTTAAGGCCTGGGCATTTTTGAAAAGTGCGGTCCAGCTATCTTTCAGTGTCTTTCCGTTTGGGTTTTCCCGTGGCTTCTCATGATTAGGTTCGAGTTAAGCGTTTTCGGCAGGAGTGTCCAGAAGCGAGGCATAGGGTGCCAGCGAGGCTCGCCGCGTGTGATGCCACCGTCGGGACTTGGTAAAGGCATGGCTACCACGCTTCCTCACTGTGAGATATGAAATGTCCCACCGGCAGAAACTGCCCACTGTACAGCTGTATGCTGGGGCAAAGTCGCAGAACGCTTACAGGCACGTTTCTCCGCCTGTGAACCGAGGACCGCCGCGCCTTTGATCAATACTGGAGTTTAAGAAAGGGAACGTATGCGCGCGAGGCCTTACGGATTAACTTCCTGCACGCTCCACCCGCAGAGGGGCGGATGAGAGGCGGAGAGGGCGAAGACGCATGCGCAGAGGGTTAACCACTGAGTCGGTGCTGGCCCTTGCGGATAGACCGGCCGGAAGTGCTCTTAGTGAGCGGGGCCGTTACGGAGCTGAGCGCTCGAGCTGTGTCAGTTGGGGGCCTGCGTGTGTTGTTGCTGCGGCCTGTTGGAGTGAGGGGCTTCAGGTTCAGGCACAATGGCGTCTCGGGCAGGCCCGCGAGCGGCCGGCACCGATGGCAGCGACTTTCAGCACCGGGAACGTGTCGCCATGCATTACCAGATGAGGTATGAAGCGAGGCGAGGAGCGCGGAGGCCTTCCCGGCCGGAGCCTGCAGGGCACGGGCGACCACGCCGGGCCGCCTCACGGTCCTGTCTCCGTCCCCCGGAGATCCCGTCGCCCCAACAGCTCCATCCCTCGTGGTCTCCGGAGTCACAGCAGTGCTATCCCCTGTGTGACACCGGAAACCTGTTTGGTCGAGCCTCCGTCTCCTCATCTGCAGGGGGAGAAACTGGTAAATAATTCAGGTAAAGGAGGTAGCACAAGGCTTAGGCCACAATAACAGAGGTAGCTATTAAGTTTGGGCTCTTTAGGGGAATATAGGCGGTAAAGTGTCCCTGACTAAAGTGAATTTTATAAACATTCTCACAGGGGTATTTCTACATTCGATAGATTCTTACTGAGCTTCTACCTATCCTGAGTCGTGTTAGGCACTGAGAATACAAAACTGAGGAGGAGCAACCTGGTCTTTATTTGCACGTTACACCTTCAATTAAAAAGTTTATTGAGGGGCAGGGGATGTACCTCAGCGGCCCAGCACCTGCCTGGCAAGCGCAAGGTCGTGAGTTCGATTCCCAGTCCCGGAAACCGCGCCCCCCCCCAAAAAAAAGTTTATTCAAACAAACAATACGACCAAAAGACAAAACTGGTCCCTGGCTTCATGAAACCTAAACTGTAGCGAGGACTAATTCTTTTTCTTCTTTTTCACATCCTTTATAATGAATATTTTAAAATAAAAAATTAAAGTAGTTTTTATTGTCTTTAAATACGTTTGAATTATCCGAGAATGTTCTCCACATCTTTCTCTCCAAGATTTGTACAGTGGCAAGCTCTGTGGACTCTCACTTCATTCTCAACCTGAAGCCCTTCCCCAGGGAGCCTCACAACCCAAGCAAGTGCTTTAGTTCCTACCCAGAGCAGAAACCTTGCCCTCTGGAGTCCCAGAAGGACCAAAGTACATTTAGGACCCTAAGAGAATCTGAAAAATAAAAAACTTTGTACCTCCTTTAGAGGAAAATCTACAGCTGAAGAAGTCCGAATAGCCAGAGCTGTTTTCCTTATTGCCAATACCTTCTCACCCCTCAGGCTGTACTCGTGCAATGCAAAGTCATCTTTCTGAACACAGCTGAGATAGTCTGCTGTTCTGTCAACTATTTCGTAGTCTTTGTAACTCCATGCCCCACTTACCCACCACTGCCATGCCCATGCCACATTCAGCCACTTAATTTCCTAGAACATAAATACTTGTGTTTTTTTTCTTGCATGCTATTACCTCTGCACAGAATGCTGAGCTCCAGCCATCTCTCAGAAAGAACCTCACTCACATATCTCATTTGGTCCTCTCTGACATTCCATCCATGCAGAATTTATTTCTCCCTCCTCTGATCCAGTATATCTTGGAAAGTTTTTTTCACTTAATTTTCAGTTATTTTTACCTTCTCAGGCCTATCCTCTGTCAGACACTCTTATCATTCAAGTTTGTATCCCTGTGTCAAATACAGTTACATGACATAGTTGGTGGTCAGGAAATTTCAATGAAAGGTGCTTCTTCCTCTGCTCTGCCCCACAGTGTGACCCTCAAGTATGAAATCAAGAAGCTGATCTACGTGCATCTGGTCATATGGTTGCTGCTGGTTGCCAAGATGATCGTGGGACACCTGAGGCTCTTGTCGCATGATCAGGTGGCCATGCCTTATCAGTGGGAGTACCCCTATCTGCTGAGCATTGTGCCATCTCTCTTGGGCCTTCTCTCCCTCCCCCGCAACAACATTAGCTACCTGGTGCTCTCCATGATCAGCATGGGGCTCTTTTCCATCGCCCCTCTCATTTATGGCAGCATGGAGATGTTCCCTGCTGCACAGCAACTCTACCGCCATGGCAAGGCCTACCGCTTCCTCTTTGGTTTCCCTGCTGTATTTGTCATGTACCTGGTGTTGGTACTGTCAGTCCAAGTGCATGCCTGGCAGTTGTACTACAGCAAGAAACTCCTAGACTCTTGGTTCACCAGCACACAAGAGAAGAAACATAAATGAAGCTTCCTCAATGAACTGCTCTGTGGGGTGAAGCCTGGGCCTCTGTTGAGCAGAATGAGAAGGGTAGAGGAACTGTTTTAAAATCTAGTATTTGGGCAGCTGCTGTGTTGGTACCTACTACAAACTGGGCCCTAGTTCTGGCCTAACATTCTGTTGTCATCTATTGAAGTGGCAAAATTAAATTTATTCCTGATGGGCTAGATCTGATTGACCAGTAGCTATGAAACAAGACTTCAGCTGGGTGAAGTTTTGAAGCCCTTCAGAATTTTTCCTTGTATCCTTGTTTCCTTTTATCCTTATCCATGCCTCCTGTTGGTCCATCTCCCCACTTCCATTCATCACCTCTTAGCTACCAAGACTACAAAGTTTACTTCCATTTGTAGGTCATGGGACAAGAAATACCTGGGAAGCTGCTCCCCTTGCAGGATGTGCTTTCTACTGCAAAACATTTTAATTAAAAATAATTTAAATAAAGTTAAGACTGCCCTGTCCACTCTGTGCCAAGGTGTTACTCTAGTGACTGGGGTTTACATCAGTGATTTTAGACTAGCGATGGGTAGAAGCTCCCTGAGAAACCTGGTAGTGGCTGTGAGAATTGGACTTGACATGGGGAATCTAAGTCATTATTGCTGCTCTGTAACAAATTGGCAAGAACTACCATAGGGTAGACATTTCATTTTCTCTACTTAAAAATGGTCCATTCTCATTTGTCTAGTTTGGGTTATGGAATGTTTTAGTTGGACGTTCATGTTTATCATTATGTGTCGAAAACTGTATAATAGTATCCAAAAGGATTTTATTTTGTTTTTGATTTTTTAGACAGGATCTCACTTTGTAGTTCAGGCTGGCCTTAAACTTACTATGTAGCCCAGGCTGGCCTCGAAAAAGCGATCTTCCTACTTCAGCCTTCTGAGTGCTGAGATTACAGGTATACATCACCATGCCTGGACTTTGTTGGTTTTGAGTTTCTTTGTTTGTTTGAAGATAGGGTCTCTCTGTGCAGTTCAGATTGACCTCGAACTCACGATGTAGCCCAGACTGGCCTCGCACTTGTGATCCTCCTGCTTCTAATAGATTTATTGAATGCAGTAACTCATTACTGTAGACCAAAACCAAGGTATTTCATAGAGGATAGACTAAACTGAAATGGGTAGAATTTGGAGAACAGGGAGAAGCAGATGGAAATACGTGGGTAATAGAGTTACCATGTGTACCTGGCACAGATTGATAATTTTCAAAGAATTGGGATGCAAATATTTACTAGTGATAAGAACACCTATAATTCCAGCACTGAGGAGGCTGAGGCAGGAGGATCATTGTGAGTTTGAGGCCAGCCTGGGCTGCATAGAGAATTCAAGGCCAGCCTAAACTTCATAATGAGACCCTGTCCAAAAAAAAAAAAAGTGCTGGGCACTGTGGTGTACATCTGTAACCCCAGTTATTCAGGCTGAGACGGGGAACATAAGTTTAAGGCCAGCTGAGGCAATTTAGACCATCTCCAAAAATGAAAGGCCAGGCGTGGTGGCTTACTCCTGTAATCTGTAAACCTAGCACTTGAGACTGAGGCGGGAGGATCTCTGAGTTTAAGGCCAGCCTACACTGCACAACAGGACCCTGTCTCAAAAAAGGGGGGGTTGCAGGTAGGGCACCTATGGGTTATAGTATTGGGATTAAAAAGTCTTTTGTCATTAGAATGGTATTTCCCATATTTCTTTTCTTTGGTACTGGGGATTGAACCCAGGGAGAGCTGAGGTACATCCCCTGTTAGGGCCCTGGCCTAGCACCACTGATCTACTCAGACAGAAAACACACACAGAACATATATTTTAGTTACAAGGGGCACCAGGATGGTCAAACCCCAATGACGGGCTAGGACCATGAGACACAGTGTTCTTGGCCCTTACAGGGGACACAGCTTGGGAGAAGGGTGCTGGTGGGCTGCAGGAAACGGTCTGGGTCAACTGCTAACTCGGTCAATGTTCAAGGACTGAGCAACAGTGCACTTTTGGAAAACCACACAGGAACAGATCTGCATTAACTAGTAATATGATTGCTGACTACTGAGCTAGGTGGAATTTGCATGAGTCCAATCCTCAGCTGCCATATTGTCTTGGTTTGAGGCACCAGAACTTCACACTGTGCCAGTCTGAGCTCTGGCCATTTGCTCAAAGATTAATCTGTCCTTAAACCAGGTGGGCCAAAGCCCTGAGTTTGATTCCTGGTACCAAAGAAGAAAATAGTAAATTTTTTTTAAAAGAAAAAAACAAAACAGAAAACCCCAGCTGGGAGTCTTGCCACAAGTCATGTAGCCCTAGGACAGACTCTCAATTTATTTTTGGGCCAATTTATTACTTATTGCCTACTTTCTACCACATCAAGCTGGCCCTCAGCAATCCCTTGCTGTCTTATTTTTTAAGTTTTGAGAAAGGGTCTTGCTAAGTTGCCTAGGCTAGCCATGCATGTGGGATCCTCTTGCCTCAGCTTCCCAAATAGCTAGGGGTTACAGGCATGTGCCACCATACTGATCTTGTATACAGCCTTGTCATACTTTGAAGATCCATTAATGAAAATTACTGTCAATGCAAAAAAAAAATTGTTTTTGCTTGTTTTTTGCTTGATGGGTTGTTGGGATTCTGTTTTCCTAGTCTTTCTGTACAATTTTTCCTGCCTCCTGTTTCCCCTTTTGGGTCTTGTTTTAGTGGAAAGAAAACCATTTGGATTAGAAGTTGGGTCAAGTGCCAAAGGACCTACTAACCACAGACTGAGACGAAGCCTGTTTGATGGATCGCTGTGAAGATGTGTAACGTCAAGGACTTTCAGAGTGCTTTATGACTAGGGAATACTGTAGCAACATGAGAGTGGAGGTTCTTCCCTGGGCTTGCAGGACCTGTCCTCAGGAAAGCAGTGCAAGTCTGATGTGCTTGGCATTCTGGCCAGGCATTTTACTACCTTCTGCCTTGAGTGAGATACTAGGGCCACTGTTCTTGACCTGAGACACAGCTGCCTCCCAGGGTTGTTGTAAGGCTTAAATAAATAATGGGTATGAACTATCCAGTACATGGTTGAGGCTTAATATCAAAATACCTTTTTTTGTGGGGTGGAGGATAAGCAGTGTTGGCTTTCTTTCTCCATTGGAAGTCCCTGCCTGTGTTTTAAGAATAATTTCTTTCCTCAGAATTCTGGAGGTTGATCCTTTCTGGGTAAAGTAGAAGTAAGGAAGGGACATTTGCTCATTCTTGGTTTACCTTGCCCTAATTTGTATGCCTGTAGTGGACACAGTTGCCCTAACAGGCCATAGGAATTGACCATTACAGGAACGTACTGGAGCTGCTGCTCTGTGGTCTACTCAGAGTCCCTGTACATGTATGGTTATGACAAGAAGACTGCCTGCCTGAGGCCCCAGCAGTATACTCTCTACCTTAGCATACAGCGCCTGCCGAGACCTCCTGAGCTCCTGACTTGGCCCCTCACTACAGTTATGAAAGCATGATGTCTTGGTCAGCTCATGCAGACACAAACCCCATGGAAGACAGGCCCCAGCTTCCTTCAGAGGGCACAAGTTCTCTGTGTGGACACCACGACCCTGTTGTCTTCACTCCTGAATTCCGGCCACTGAATTACTGGCTCCTCCCTGTTGACATTTGCCGAATAATCCCCTTCTTTAGAAATATGAACACTGGTCACTCACCACATAAAACTACTTTCCTTCATTCCAGCCATCTGATTTCTTTCTCTACATTATGTACCTTGCCAGTTATATAACACTCCTAAATCTAGTACCTTCTGTGGACCACAGGATCCAAAACCCCTCTAGTTTCCCACATTTCTGCCCAAGCAGTGTGCTCTGATAGGAAACAAAACAAGAAAGCATTGTACTGTGCCGAGTGCTTTCTATTTCTCAGCCTTGTGTTTTTGGACAAGTTACCTAATCTTTCTGAGGGTTTCCCAGTCTGTAAAGTTAGGTCATAAGACTGACCATAAGGGTTGTAGTGCTCATAAAATGAGATAAAATGGGCAAAGTCCATGACCCAGAGCTTGGTGGAAGTTTAGCAAGTACTGATCTCATCCTATCTTCTTCCCCAGAGTGTCTGGCTATAATTCACCCCTGTGCCTTTCACTTTAAATCTTTTTTGAAGCAGCCTCCACATTAAATAAACCAGTAAAACAATAAAATGCATACTCTCTGTGTGTGTCTGGTCCTAGGGCCTGAATTCAAGGCCTTCTCACTGAACTCTATCTGCTGCCCTTTTTTATTTTTCACTTTGAGACAGGGTCTTACTTAGTTCCTAAATTGTCCAAACTGGGCTGGAACTTGTGATTCTCCTGCCTCAGCCTCCCTAGCATGCTGGGATTATAGGTGTGCACTATCACACCTGGCTTCTTTTTCATCTTTTTTTTTCTTCTCTATGTGCTCCTTTCCTTTCTTTTCCATCTTCCCTCCCATTTCCTTCTTTCCTGTTCTTCCCTTCCTTCCCTCGTGTCTCTCTTTTCTGCTTCTCCTACCATAACCAGAGTTGGAGAAATTAACCCAGTATTTTGGTTTAGATCACACTTGGAAGACTGAGCTAGGAGGATTACAAGCTTGAGCCCACTCTAAGGAATTATCAATTCAGCAAGATCCTTTGTTTCATTTTGTTTTTTGTTTCTTGAGACAGGGTCTCATTTATTTTGTTGTTTTTCTTCCAGTACCAGGAATCAAATTCATGACCTTGCACTTGCCAGGCAGGCGCTTTGCCGCTGAGCTAAATCCCCAGCCCCTACAAGGTCTCATTATGTAGCCCAGGCTGGCCTCAAACTCATGGTGATCCTCCTGCCTCTGCCTCCCGAGCGCTGGGATTACAGACCACTCCATGCTCCTTCAGCAAGATACTATTTTGAGAAATAATTTTTAAAGAAAGGGCTGGGTGTAGTTTATTGTGAAGGTCCTGGGTTCAGTCGCCAGTACTGAAGAAAAAAAAAAAAAAGCCAAGTGCGGTGGAACACACTTGTAATCTCAAGATTTTGGGAGGCTAAGGCAGGAAAACTGCAAATCTGAGCCTAATCTGAGCAATTAGGGACGTCCTGTCTCAGATCAGAGGATGCAGAGATTGGAAAGGACACATGTTCTAGAATAGGGCCAAGTTTCTCACTGCATACCTCGGCATTAGAAATCTCATTATTGCTAAGCATAGTAGTGCACAGCTGTGATCCCAGCACTGAATGCTGAGGCAAGAGGATCAAGAATTTGTTGCCATCCTGGGCTACAGAATGAGTTGAAGGCCAGCTTGGGGAAGAATAACAAAATCCTGTCTCTTAAAAAAAAAAAAGAA